TTCCTCACGAGGGACAGCAAGAAAGTTGGGCATTTTTGATAGGACAGAAAAGGTTGCACCATTTTAGCAAAAATATAATTTGAATATACGACCATTAAGAGATAGAGATGTTCAACTCAGCCTCAATGCTTCAATCAAGCTTTGTGTCCTTTCCTAGTGTTCATCTTACCAAACCCCGCTTACAACACAGCCCATGAAAACTGACTAATCTAAACTCCGGTCACTTTAGCCTGGGTGGTGAGATAAGGAACCAGATGCATTTTGATCAGATTCAGGTCTACCAATTTTGAAACAGCCACATAGCCCCAAGAAATTAGCTACTGCAAGTGATTTCTAGCAAGCTGCCCTTTTCAAATCCAACTCATTTTTCCACTTTACATACATTCATCCAAACCTTAATTTGCTCTACCAAAGCCTTTATGCATCTCCTTCGACAACCCTAAGATTTAAATCACAAGCTACTAAAATCCCCAGGCCAAGGTATGAACCTATATCCCACAAGCAGCTTTTTTCTCTTAAAGCTGTACCACTATTGACATGCTATTGACATGTTATAAAGGATATGAATAGAGCCAACGGTTTGGGAGAATATTCTTCATGGCCTTCGATTTGCACTTATTTCTGTTGGTATGCTACAGTTGTATATAATGAAAAATAAACTAACCATAAACCTTCAAACATACTACCATCAAATTCTATGGACCATGCTGATAGATCAATAACAAAACAATCTGGCTCAACATTCAATTGCAATGTAACACAGCTGAGATTACTTTTTTCATAGGACAAAACACAACACACATGTGTTTGCATGCATGTGCACATGCACACACGCAGGATAAAAGATCGAAAGTGAATTTAAGGGCAAAGAGGGAAAAGAAAATGGTAGACACTATTATTCAAAATTAAGTTGGCAATACTGACTTACTTGTTTACATCCGGGTGAAAACTTCTTGCAAGCTTCCGGTAAGCTGAAATGTGAAAAGTATACAGAAGAGAAATTAGAGGATGATAAAATCTACAAGAAAAAAAAATACATAATAAAACCAAAAAAGCACAAACCATGATTAATTCAAGCCACACATCCTAATGTATTAAACCTTTCAAGCACAGGAACATCACACTGGATGCTTTATGCATCCAAAAAGATAGAAGCTTAGTTTTATTTTCTGATCTGTACCAAACCGAAGCATTTCACATATTAGGTTCCTATACCAAGGGTTACTTTGTATTTCTGTTATAGAAATTCATTCATAATGATAATATGAAATATTGCAAACAGCTTTAAAACACACGCCTTGGCCGGAAGATGGCATTGTTATTCTTAAAATGCGTATGTACCAAATCTAGTGACATGAGTTGTTTTTCACCTTATCCCAAAATTCAGAGAGGGTGGAGATTGGAGAACGTATATATAAGAATATATAGAGCATAGTAATATATCATAGAAAAGCAAGTGGAAATATTCTGCCAAAGGTGCACAACCAAGTTACATCAGGTCAAATTATTCAGTTGAATTTGAGGGGGCAAAACTTCCTATGACTTCAGGAAACTAATTGTCCAACTACCTCCAATAGCATCCTATTGGTTGTTTCTTCAGCCCCACAAGGGAAAAATCATGAGATTAGCTTCTAAAAGAGGTTGATGAAAGTAA